GACTGAGGGATGCTGGGAGACCATGGAGGCAGGTCTGCTTTGATATGTTAGATAGGCACCTCAGCCGCTTGTCCAGAGTCTGAAACCCAACAATATGTATGAAAATGCCACAGCCAAACCCGTTCCTTCAGATGCTAACTTTAAAAATTAATCATAATTTTAAGAAGAAATGAGGCTTAGCATTAAATGGCTCGTTCAGTTTGTACAGGTAGCGAATGCAAGAGAATTCTATATTACACATCTTGACTTCTGAGTTTGAATCTTCAGGTAATGAAGGGGTACGTGTCAGGATCAGCTTTGCTTGTCCAAGGTGGCTTGCAGTAAGGCTGGAAAGGACTCTAGAAAGGCAGAGACAAAGATGGCTTTCCCGCCACAGCAAGGTGGCTCGGAGTCCTCTGTGGGCCAGGGTCATGGACACCTGAAATCTAGGACAACCACTTAGCAATGCATGGGCTGCTGTGCTCAGCTCAGCCGTTCAGGGTGAAAGACTCCTGCCTCACCCTAAGTTAAACATAGCTAACGCCATTTTGTGGGACACCACTGTTTTGTAAAACTCTGAAGGCTAAATGGAAAACTAAAAAAATTACTAAGAAACCCAGCTGTGTCACCCACTTGGGATATCTGCGGTCAGGCTGCCCCAGTTGAGCTAAAAACAGTTTGTGTTAATCACCCTCATAGATATCTGTGAGACTGTTCCAGTTAAGATAAGGGTCCTAAGGAAAACAACAGGTGGCGGGCCACGTCAAGGGGTCATCATGACCATGTTGACCACCCAGTTCCTGGAATCCTGGTATCTCTGCCAAACTCTGACTCAAATTGTGGTCTCATTTGAATGTACCAATCAGCCCCCTGTAACCATGCCTCTCGCTTCTGTACCAGCGCTTCTGCTCTAAAACCCTATAAAAACCCCAGCTTTCCACCCAGGGGGCGCAGCAGGTCCTCCGAATGACTCTGCTGCCCCGGGTACCCGTGTATCAAAATAAAAGCCTCTTGCTGTTTGCATCCGAATGGCCTCGTTGTTCCTTGGGAGGGGGTCTCTCAGATGAAAGATACCCTCCGGGGATCTTTCAAGGGTAGCTCACCGTGGAAGGATCTGCTGGAATTAGTAGGCGACATCAGGAGACGTAAGGCAAAGCTCTTTATTGACCCTGTCACTTGCAACTTGCGTTGTATAGATCAGTGGCTCCCAACATTCCTGCCACCCTTTGATACAGTGTCTCAAGCTTTTCATGACTGGAACACAAAACAGTGGGGTCCAAGTACCTTACTGAGTCTGTGAACCTGAGTCAAAGAGTAACATAATATAAATCTGAGAAGTTAAAATGTCACCTGGCATTCACACAACAGGGATGTTGACTGTCTGCCTGAAGGTCCAAATTAAACCACCAATCAGGCTATGCAGAGCCACCTCCTATTTCTGTAACTGACCTTGACCCACACTTAGCTCAGATCCAGTTTTCTCTCCTGCTTCACTGAGCATCCACTTAGAACACGCTTTTCACACCTGATCACATGACTGGTCACAAATACACCCTGTTCCCATGCTTTGCAAAGATGCAGGCCACTAGTAGGAATGTTAAGTTCTTGGTGTGGCTCCCGTCCTCTCCTGTTGTTCCCTTTCCCGGTGAAGAGTTTCAGTTAGCCTGGGTATAACTCCATTTTGAAATAAAGAGCCATCTTGACTGGAGCTGAATTCAGGTGCCAGGAAATATCACAGAATGTACACTTGGCAGAAAACAAAGTTAATTCTCCTAGCAACAGCCTCTAGGAAATATCGCAGAATAAATGCTTCATAGAAAATAGAGACAATCTCCCTGGCAATAATCAATGAGAATCAGTTGAGAATCGGGTGGGAAAATTCTCCCCAATGTTTCAGATATCGTTTAAAAGAATAGCCATTGTGATCATATGACTTAGGCCATTGTGCCCCAGAGAGGTATATGCCTTAGGCAATTGTGCCTCAAAGAAGGTCACCTCGCCCCTCTAACTTTTACCTGATCCTGTAATGTCAAGGCATGAACCTCCCCCCACTGCTTGCTGTCATGGAAACATATGCCCCTCTGCTTGCTATCATGAAAACCCCCTGCTCACAGACTTTCCCTATAAAAACCCTGCTCACTCAGGGCTCTCAGTCCCACTTCTCTACTGCTGCGTCGGTGAGACTTGGGTCCCGAGTTCAATTGCTCTCGTAATAAAGCTCTCTTGCTCTTACATCGAGTCATCTCCTGGTGGTCTCTGAGGGTCCTGTGAACCTGGCATTACACTGGCAACCACCAATTGGCAATAGATGAAGATGTTGCTTTACATTCTACACTCAGTTTGGGCTGCAGTTCAGTTTTTACCACGCATACCCGTGGGTATTATCCCTAGATAGCCTTATTTCAATTGGTCACGTGTACTGGTGTAGGACACAGCAGCTTTTGAAACCGTTCCAAGGGATTCTATTGTGCAGCTATCGCTGAAGATTGATGCTTTGAATGCTTCTTCAGAATTCCACCGTCTGACCTTGACAGCCACCTCTGTTTGGATGGCACACATTCAAGACAAATGGAAAGAAAACCCTAGTGAGAAATTCGGAGGCTTTCTGACTATGAGCCCCTGGGAACATTCTTTGCTTTTGATGTAGCTGATGAGATAGCAGAGAGGAGGCAGCCAGCTGCTGTGAGTCTGCTAAAGAGTAGAGTCCATGGACTATCTTGGAATGTGGGCTGAGGACCTTGTCCTGCGAGCAGCAGATTCAACAGTTGAATCTTACCTTTTTTTTTTTTTTTTTTT